TAACTTCTTTTTGCTCAACAACAACAACAAAAAAAGTTTTGTGTGTTTGTTTTGAATAGAATTCCTCCTTGTGGGGTCCAAAGTTACCTTCTTGGAGGATGACTCCTTCCTGCTTTTTGAGCTTGCTCCCTTGCTTAACACATCACACGCCGTCCCACAGGGGCCACAGTTCCACAAGTGGACAGACAGCGTCTGCACTCATGACTTCCCGTGTCATGAGCACCATGCTCTCATTCACTGGCATGGACACTAACAAGCTAGCATTTCTTCAGTTACACCAGGGAACACACTCCTGACGTCTAACTCAGGCCAGGACTGAAACAATGCAAACTGTATTTCTGATCGTCCAGCAAATTCTTTTTAGGATCCTGCCTGTGTCACCTTAGCCCATGAATTGTTTTTATGTTCAACAGAAGCGGCATTGATGGACTGCCGACAGCGCTGAGTGGGTCAGGGGAGGCATTGTTTAGTTGAAGAGAGTTCTGTCAATCTAGATTTCAAAGAGGCGGGGAGGGTATTGGTTATATTATAAAGTAGGTCCCCCTTGGGGAAAAGGATAAAAGCTTTAGATTTGCTGAGTCTTAAATAATGGTTCAGCTTCACTGACCCCAACTGTGACGTGTGTAGCCAAGGCCACAAAAGATAAATCCCAGCTGGGGACAAGAAAATCTAAATGCAGCCTCTTCTTTCCCTGAAACAAATTAAGAAAAACAAAAACAAAAAAACAAAAACAAAAACAAAAAACCCAGAATCCTGCTCCAGAGTGTGGCATCTTCATTTGGGGGTGGGGGGGCATTCTGGCAATCAATCAATGCCGGCCCTCGAAATGTGGCAACCTGGAGCCCCACCAACATGCATCCCTTTGTTCCAACAGACACATGGTAGCCCATGCCCAACACTAAGCATCCAGTGTGAAAGTGTTTAGATGATCAGGCAGGGCCAGCCAGGCATGCTGTTTGGTTTCTATTTAACAGTTTAAGCAAGATGGGTTACACTTGGGGAAGTAAACCTCCGCAGACTGATGGAAAGCTGTCACCTGACGGTGGTGGGCATGTTCCCTTCTCTGCTTTCCTGAGTCTCACTTCCACTGTAGTATGGACACATTGCTAAAGGTCATTTAAAAGATTTTTTTAAACGACTTTATTGATCTTCAATGTGCCAACCCAAAATTGCCAAGTGAACATTAGGATTAAAAATGACTTTAAACGCCGGGCGTTGGTGGTGCATGCCTTTAATCCTGGCACTCAGGAGGCAGAGGCAGGTGGATCTCTGTGAGTTTGTGGCCAGCCTGGTCTCCAGAGAGTGCCAGGACAGGCTCCAAAGCTACACAGAGAAACTCTGTCTCGAAAAACCAAAAAAAAAAAAAAAAACCAAAAAAAAAAAAGACTTTTAAACATTAGGATTAAAAGTTGACCCTGGGGGATGCGGAGATGGTTCAGTCTAACAGGACCCCAGCCCCCACATCCAGGAGATCAGATTGTGGGTTCGGCATGCTCATGCTGCAGACACCATAAACTAACAACTCAAATATTTAACTTTGGCTGAGACTGACCAGGACCAGGTCTCAGGTGTCCTCACTCAAACTCTTCCCACTGTAGCTGGAACTGGCATTAACTCTCCCCCACCTAATGTCTGGACGGTGAGTCAACACTTAGGTGTAGAAAAGGAACTAAAGACTTTTCAGGGACAAGAGTCTGTGAACAGTGCTCCCAGGAGAAAAAATTTCTTTTAAGAAATTAATTGGTTTTCAAACAGTTTTAAAAGAAGCACTTCTGTACTTTAAACTGTTCTTGCTACTCTTTTAGTCCTCAATGCATACAGTTCATATCACTGGCTAAAGAGTTATGATTTTTCTAGAAAACACCCCAGCCACAGAGTCCATATATTGTATAGTTGGCTCTTCTCTGAGCTTTTTTCAGCTCCATTAATTGTTTGACACACACATCAATCTAGATTCTTCCATCTGTCGTCAAGTTTTCAAATCACAGAAAAGCCAACTTAGAACAAAAGAAAACATCACTTCGTTGTCACTATTTCCTCACACATAACCCCCACCTCTTGAAGAGAGGAGGTATCTTTAAAACTACCTGAAGTGATTCAGAAAAGCCCGCTCCCTGATTCTACCTGTCCTTAGCAATAGGCACATAATTCCTTTCTCCCCAGTTTACAAATGCCATGTCACTTTAACATGCAGGGACTCTGAACCTTTTATAAATAAACACATAAATAACTGCTTCAAGTCAGAAGGCAGTTTACTGTCCACAGCTATAACTCTAACTCCAGGGAGAGAGACAGGCATGAAGCAGATACTCATAAGCAGTATTAAATAACCAATGTGCACTTGGTTTAGTAACTTGCTTTTCCATTTCTTTCAGCTCAATGGATGAAAGGGCAATTAAACAAATTTCTTGAAGGACATCATAAGTCATTTCCACTGGTAAAGTTGAAACAGACCTTTAGCTAGGGAAAAAAGAAGCAGCAGCATTTCTACACTGGGGAAGTAACTAAACCACCTCACTCCTAAAGTTCTTTCCAGTTCCTAGACACTATAACCTAGATACCATGCCCTAAGAGAGAGACATCTACATAAGGCCGGATTCCCAGGCAGAGTAATTACCATGCATTGTTCCCGGATAAACTGATACTTCAGCATGTGGATGCAAAAATACTAAACCATTCAAACTGGAGACACGTCCATAGAAAAGAAGCACTCTTGCTAAACTAGGTGCACTCTGGAAATAGCACCTGTGCTTCAGGTCTTCTCAGGGCCGAGGCCAGTGAGGAAATGGACAAGCTATGAACACAGATTAAAAATGGAATAAATGGCATCACATTAAACTTTAGCTTTTGCTTGGTCACCAATAACATAGCTCTCCCTAAGAAATGTGTGAATTTAGCCTTGAAATTTAAGCAGTTGTAACTGAATATATACATTTCAATAATATAGAAAACACAGCATTTGATGGATGGGGTAGGTAGCTCAGTGGCAGACTGAAAGCACAAGGACCTGGAGTTAATACTCAGGATATAAAACCACCACAAACCCCAGGCCCTTATCATATAAATGTTTCTATCCATTAAAACTCAATTGTTATCCACTGCAAATGTCACACTAGAATGTCTAAAACTGAGAGCAACTAAAGTCACTCTTCAATCTGGACAGGAACAGTGGTTTGTACAGACAGGAGAAAGATTTATATTTTCCTTGACAACTCTTTTTAAATTTTTTTAATGAATTCTGAAGAACTAAGGCAACTCCATTTGTAAGTAGGTTCACTTTGGAGTGGCTCTCTCCCTTCCCATCCCCTTTCTTTCTTCTGTCCAAACCCAGGGCAGATAAAGGGACTGGGGAGGTTGAAAATTTCAATATTATAGAAGCACAGACTTGTTAGGAGCTGGGTTTGGAGAATCTTCTGCACTCGATGAAGCTGGTCTGAGGACGGGAAGTTTCAGAGGTTACTCTTTAAAAGATCCCAGAGAGCAAGCAGTCTGACCACTCCATGTAAATGGGATCACACAACCTCGGTAGCCTTATTCAACTTTGTAGTTCAGTCCTGATTGTCGTGCTTACAACTGGGGGTGGGGTGTCTTCTTTTTTTAAGTTTTAAGTAATTTGATCTTAATTCCGGTGACAACAGAGAATACACATAGAGAAGCACTCTTTTCTGTATATGCATACTTTAAAAATCTCCCCGATTATCTGAACGAAAGGTCTTACATGAGAAGTCTGTAGGATTAAGCTCACATATGGCTGGCAGACCCTTTCTTGGATATGATCACAGCCACACAACTAAATCTTAAGCCCACATATTGTTCCTATTTAACTGACAGATATGAACCTACTAATTTATTGGAAATGTGCAGCAAATTATTTCTTCCACCTCCCCCAATCCTCAAGAATGCACCCGCAATAAGTGTTGCCGAAAAGACACCCCCTACACAGGATACTTGCATTCCCAGACGCTTGCCAATGCATCTAAAACATATATTGTTATTTTAGTTCTTTGAATCTGTGCCCTGAAAATAAGTGTGGGGAGGGCCAGATTTAACCTTGGTTTCTAAAGAGATCGGCCCAGAGACTATGTAAATTCCCTCATTAATGATAGCCTCGGACCAATTAACAAGAGCATAATTTGTGTGAAGAGGAAGACAAAATTCTTAGGACGATGTCATGTAACAGAGTTTGGAAGGCCTAAAAAATCCACAGGAACACTTAGCGATGACCAGCGCACATTTTATCACCGTGTAAAGTCTTTCAAAACACCTCAAACAACAACAAAAAAAAAAAAGAAGAAGAAAGAAAGGAAGTAAGGAAGAAAGGAAGAAAGAAAGAAAGAAAGAAAGAAAGAAAGAAAGAAAGAAAGAAAGAAAGAAAGAAAGAAAGAAACCGAACCACCAAATCAAGGTAGGTGTTGCAAAGGGTGACCCCATGAACTTCATGCTGGGCTGAGACTCCCCAGGGAGTGCAGAAGGTGTGTGTCCGGAGAAGTACAGTGGGGTACAGCCAAGAGTCTGAACATCCGGGGTTCGTAGCTTTCAGCATCTACCTAAGACTTTTCACTATATCTACAAAATGCCAGGCCACCACCTGCAGCTAAGTGCAAAGTTCGAAAGGGAAGAAAAAGAAGATGGGGTTCTAGCCAGGGAAGGACTCCACGGGAGGCGCCCCAATGGCAGACCAGGCAAAAGTGGGCTATGATCGTCGACAAAGAAAATGCGAAAGAGAAAAGAGGACTCCGCCTTTCCCTCTGGGCTTGGCTCCTTTCAATAAAAAGGAAGGGCCACCGCCACCGCCCCTTCCCTTCTTTTCACCCGTGGCTGGGGAGCAAACCCTGAACTACATCCTCAAAGTCCCACTCGCTCTAGCTGGCTCCGAAGTTGCAAACCCAGAGTCGCATACTCCAAGAGGCGCGGCCCGTGGCGTGTCCCCGGGCCCAGAGTCGGGATAGGAGCATCCGCTCCCGGCCTTCGGGTGCTGGGACACTCCTCCAGACACTCACCCTCCCTTCCTTCCTCTTCCTCGAGCCCCGCATTCAATACCGCCGCCCCCGGCCTGCCAGCCGCAGAGTATTTCAGGACTTCCACCCACCCCGAAAGAGAGCCCTTTGAAAACTTTGTGTGTCTAGGGCTTTGTCCACATCCTGGGCAGGGCCGGGTCACCCGGGTGGGCGCCTGAGGGTGTCCGGAATTTCACAATACACCGGGGGTAAGCCACCACGGAAATCCCACCCCTTGGACCCGCTTCTACAGCCGTGTGACACAGCGCTTCGGCTCCCAATTCCCATGCCCCTATTGCCCCCGGGGCGCGGGAGAACCGCGAGGAAACCCTCCGCAGCGGGCGCCTTCCTCCACGGTCAGCAGCCGAGCGGTGTGCGCGGGGAGAGGGAGGGATCTGGGGAAAGCAGCGGCTCAAGCTACCCCTTTAAAGGGAGCCTCGCAGAGGGGTCCTTTTTCTCCCGCATCCCCGAAATAGGGGCGCGCCTAGGAGATCCACAGTTGCATCAGGTAGGCTCCGAACCTGCCGGCTCCCCAAGCTCCCCTCCGCCCCAGACGCGCGCCCAAATGCATGCACACACCCACAGCCCCAGCAGCCACCACCCAGAGCCCCCTCCCGGTCCCCGCAAATTTCCACCCGCACGCGCCCCAAACACAGCCCAACGGCGCCCCGGGATCAGCGCGCTGGGGAAGCGAGGCCCCGGCACTTACACTCTGTCTCCCTACAGCCACGGCCATCGCGACTGCGGCTCCAGCTGCGCCCGGCTGCTCTCGGCCGACACAAGCTGCTGCTAGCGCCCGGGTTCCCGATGGCCTCCCCCGCGCCTCCCTCGCGGCTGCGCCCTGCTCGCGCCCGGCTCCCGCGCGCCTCCAGCCGCATCTGCTCGCCCGCGCCGCCCCGCCCGCTTTATTCCAGCAACATGGCCTCCCGCCGGGACGCGACCATTGGCTGTCCCTGAACGGGGGTGCTGGGAGCGCCCCGGCCCCAGTCAAGCGACCGAATGCAGCGAGCAAACCATGATCCTGGTCAGCAGGTAGGCTAAGACCCTCTATAGTCAGCTATCTTCCCTCTTGTGACTTTCTTCTATGTCACTAAGGTGTCCCAAGCCTTGGCGCTGCCTGCCTCCCCCCGCTGCAGCACGTGCTGGAGTCCGCGTAAAAGCCTAGGCGCGGAGGTCCCAACCCGGGGCTGCCACGCGCTGCGCGGAGCCGGCACCTGGGGCTGCTATGGGGTGGGGCAGGGACAGGGAGCAGGGGCTACATCTAGAGGAAAGTTGCCCTCGTGACACGCCTCACAACGCTTAAAGGGTGTGGTGGGTAATCCACTAGGGCAGAGCGTACCCCACAAGGAAAGAATTGCTGGTCTTCGGGGCTTCCCTTCAGAAAAGAGACTAAGCCAGCTGCTGGAAGCCGTCGCTGTGTCGTGCAGCCGGGCTGGGGATCGCTTTTGGAGAGGAAGAGGCTGTAGTAGTTGGTTCCGTGGCCGACCCAACCACCCGCTGCTGGAGACAGGAGAAAACTCCGGTGCCCGCTGGAGAATTTAGATCGTTGTGAGCTTGCTCCAGAGCGTTTTCCACGGTATTACCGGAGAGGTCACTGGTGCAGAGAGGTCAGCCCACGTCATTAGATCCCCGGAGACAGACCCGATGACCCAGGGGCCAGAGGCGTGCATGCTCAAGCCTGGCTGCGGGGTGCGGGGCTAAGGCGAAGGCGCGAAGCGGGTGACAAGTGGGTGCGTGGGACTGGGAATGATTTTTCCAATAGATGCCGGAGCGTCTGGGTGGCAGGCGAAGTTGTGGGGTCCTTGTGCATGCATCTGATATGGGGTAAACAGTGAGGGGTGCCACGCGTTGTAGATTCCCACGGGGGACTTATGACCGGAAGAGGATAGCTACTTGATTGAGTTGAGGAAACCAGGTGGATTGAAGCGCGGGGAAAGAGGCACTGAAGGGCTGTATTCAGTCCACGTGAATGCGCCCTCAAGGGAAACCAGGTCTATTAAGAAACTGCCTGCTTGAATTGGAGCTCCTCAGAGCCTGACCTGAGACATCAAACATCCAAGTTTCTGGGAGCTTTAAATGTACCTCTCCTGGCCCACCCACAGAGGGCCGCAGGATTCATTTGCCCTGCCCAGTCTTTGGCTGAGGGTGAGTGGCCCTCCAGAGCTGGTTCACCAGAGGCTGATCTGATGCTGTTCTAGTAGGTGGATGAGGAGCCAGAAGCCTCTGGAGTGAATTCCACCCCTGGCGGTGGAACCTAGAGAAGAGTGTGGTGAAGGAGGAGTGAGGGGCTGTGACATAAGGCCTCACTAAGTTGTGTTTTGATCACTTTCTGTCCTGGAGGCATCAAATCTTTTGAGAATGGGGACCTCACTTATGCCAGACACACAGTAGGCAAAACCTTGTCAGGGTTGTAAGATGTCACGTGTGTGGGTGCTGTTCGAGAGCGCTCAAAAACAAAGAATTCCTTTCCTCTGTGACTTTAAGCCAATGCCTTCTTGCTCCTTGGTTGAGGGGGGGTTAGAGGGTGGGGAACGGGGGGGGGGGATAAAAGGATTATGTATAATTCCTTGTCCAAACTTAAAACTTTTAAAATTAAAAACGGAGGCTAGTGCTATAACTTCAGATAACAGGCAGGGACTGTGACTTACTGGCACCCTAGCCATTGTTGCAGATGAACTAGGCAGTTGAGAGGTTGTCACAGTAATAATACACATGAACTCGCCATAAGAGTGCGTCTTTGTCTTCTGGCGTCCTGCACACAACATACATACATGTACAGGTCTATCCTCTGAGCCAAACAACTGCCATCTTGAGACATTCACCTGTGTCTATTTGCAAAAGATCATCCCAACTGTGCTTGGTGACTGTTTGCATCCCCTTACAGAGAGGCAGTGAGGATCCTCACTGAGTATGCAGCCACTCACTCCCACGTTTTCCGTGTACCTCTGCCTTAACTGCATTTGGCCTTCAGGAAGTAGTAGAGTGAATAGGCTGGGAAGAAAGGGGATCCATCTATTGGAAAGCCCTCATCCTTGCTGGGTGATGTCGGTTTTCAATGTGGCCTCTAGGAAGGGAGCACCTACCCTCCAGTAAGTAACCCCTCACCTGTGGACTAGGGAATCCCAACAACTCATTGGTTCCCAGAGTGAACTTTGGTAGAATGGTGCCTCAGTTTGTCTCTGGACCTTAGGAGGAAGAGGTAGATGTTGCTAGTGTCTCCCTCTTTAAAGGAACTTTGGCAACATTGCAATACTTAATAAGGTTGAGTGACCAATAAATACTTGCTTAGTCTATAAATGTTGAGTCGCATTTGGATACAGATGGAACCATGTACTAAGCCTATGAACAGTCATGACTGCCATGGGCAGAAATTGGTGCTTGATCCTAGGGGCAGTGAAGAACCCAAGGGGCTAGTAAACATACAAGTGACTTCAGATTTTCATTTTAGAAAAGATATATACCCAATGTTTGACATCGTTACTCATGCAGGACTCCTTTTTAGTGGGATCATGATTATTTGGAGAGATTTTCAAGAAAATGTTACACCTTGGTAGAAAGTAAATGTCTCTTATAAAAGATTCCTGAAGATAAAGCACTCAGCAGACCCTTCATCCCATCCCCTTAGAGCTCTCAAGAGATCACTTGATCTGAGCTTGGTGAGTAGACACTGTTGATTTTGAATCTGGAATTAAGAGACATGAAGACAGAACTTACGAATTCTGTAGTTTATTCTTATTTTTTAAGTAGGTTATCTAGGTTGTTTCTGTAGCTCTCCACTTTCTTTTTGAAAAGTCTAATGTAAGAGCACTTTGACCACAGTATAAGAAAGATACATTAAGAAAACACAAAACAGATAATAAGGAACAATACAGAAACAAATGGGAAATACATAAAACAAATACAAGAAGATAAAATAGGAAACAGCCTAGACTATGTAACCAGTTCCAAGATACACAGGGCTATATAGTGAGACCCTGTCAAAAAAGGAAAAGAGGGCTGGAGAGATGGCTCAGAGGTTAAGCGCACTGGCTGCTCTTCCAGAGGTCCTGAGTTCAATTCCCAGCAACCACATGGTGGTTCACAACCATCCGTTATGAGATCTTGTGCCCTCTTCTGGTGTGCAGATATACATGGAAGCAGAATGTTGTATACATAATAAATAAATAAAATCTTTTTAAAAAATTTAAAAAAGGAAAAGAGAAAGAGTTAGAAACCATCACTACATTCCATTTAGAGAATAAAGCAAGAGATCCTGAACTCCTGCAATGTTATGTTAAGATGTTCAATAAAACATTTTTAATGCATGCAAATTAGACAGGAAAACTTAAAACAGTTTTTATTCAAAGAGGACATGACCTTATATAGAGGATATCTTAAGGATATTAAAAGCTAATAAATGTGCTCAGCAAGGATGTATAGGATACATGATCAATACTTAAAAATCAATTGTATTTGTACACATTTGCCATGGACAATATGAAAATAAAATTTAGAAAACATTTTCATTTATATTCACAGCAAAATGAATAAAGAACTTAGGAGAATGGTTTTAAAGATATGCAAAAATATTTCTGGAAACAAATTTTAATGAGATACTTGGATTTGAACCCTGGATCTTGCAGAGGGTTTACCAAGTAAGCACTCGATAATGAGATAAATCCCATCCCCACCCCAATATTTGAATCCAAATAAATGGAAAACTATTCATGTGTATGAATTGGAAAACATGAGGTGACAAACTCCCCAAACTGATTTATAGATTCAGCACAGTTCCTTTCAGCAACTCAACTCACCTGTTGGTAAAAATTGATAATTCAATTCCCCAGTTCCTGTGGAAGTTCAGAGACCCAAAACAGCCACAAGTCGCAGGGCTCACACTCCGAGTTTCACAGATACAAGATAGACCCATTAATAATGGGATAGAGCTAAGATCCAAAAATCCCTGTCAGCTGTCAACTGATTTTTCAACAATGGTGGTAAGACCTTTCAATGGGGAAAGTGTAAACTTCTAAGCAAATAAGGAACAGCAACTAGGCAACGGTTCACATCCA